GTTTATAGCTATTTCCCTTATACTTGGGGATGGACTATACAACTTGATCAAGATAAAGGAAATGTGCAATACAGGCACCAAACAGAGCGGCCTTCCAATTGTCAATGAGGTTATAGGTAGGATAAATATATGCCAGTGGAGAGAACAATGATTGCTTGCAAAGTAATTGTTGCAATTACTGCATACTGCTTGCCCTAATTTTATTTCTTTCACAACTGTTTGTTTATGGACAATTCTATTTTATGCTGGGGAGTTAATTGGGATGTTTTGTCTTTCCACAGATGATGATACTTTGAGAATACTAACAGAGCAGAGACAAAAAGACGAGACATTCCTTAAAGACAGGATACCTTCCTGGTTTGCAGCTTCAGGATATGTGGGTCTGGCTGCTATATCAACAGCTACCCTTCCAGTCATCTATCCACCCCTAAAGTGGTATCTGGTTCTTTGTTCATGCATTATTGCCCCTGCCCTTGCCTTCTGCAACTCTTATGGAACGGGACTCACAGACTGTAACTTGGCTTCAACTTATGGAAAGATCAGTCTTTTCATCATAGCTTCATTAGTTGGAAGCAACGGTGGCGTTCTGGCTGGTTTGGCAGCATGTGGGGTTATGATGTCTATTGTCTCCAGTGCAGCTGATCTAATGCAGGATTTCAAGACTGGTTACCTCACTCTATCATCAGCCAAGTCCATGTTTGTGAGCCAGTTAGTCGGAACAGCCATGGGCTGTGTCATTGCCCCTCTCACATTCTGGTTGTTTTGGACTGCTTTTGATATTGGGTCACCTGATGGTCCATACAAAGCACCCTATGCTGTCATTTTCAGGGAAATGGCCATTCTTGGCGTTGAGGGTTTCTCACAGCTCCCAAAACATTGTCTGGCTTTATGTTGTGGGTTCTTTGCAGCCGCTCTTGTTATTAACCTCCTTAGAGATGTGACTCCAAAAAGAGTTTCACAGTTCATTCCGATTCCTATGGCCATGGCAATTCCATTTTATCTTGGAGCTTATTTCGCGGTCGACATGTTTATTGGGACTGTAATATTATACATCTGGGAAAGGATTAATAGGAAGGATGCTGAGGATTATGCCGGGGCAGTGGCTTCTGGTTTAATCTGTGGTGATGGAATATGGACGCTACCATCAGCTATTCTCTCGATTTTCAGGATCAACCCACCCATCTGCATGTACTTTGGTCCTTCTTCAACTAGTTGAGCTGGGTAACCAGTGGCCGGATCAATATTTCATGAATGGGGTGTTGATTTAAACACAAGATTAATTGGATTATAATCCGTAATATATCTCATTCACAGACTCACAGTTTTATGGATTCCCCAGTCTGGATAAGTTATTACTTATTTATTGTAAATATGACTGACTACTGCTATGTGTCCCTCTCTTTTATTCGTTTTCTTGTGTATTTAGATTGACAGACGTCTTCCAAGTCTTATTTTATCCCAAGGAAGTATAACAGCCTCAGCATTGCAATGGAGGACAGATTGTTGTCATCAAGTCATACGGTAAAAATTACCAACAAAACATTTTGGCTCTGTGTAGTTGAGAATGAAAAAGGCTTGAGGCTTACAGCATGGGAAATAGGAATGATTGGGGGGGGGGGGGGGGGTGTGGCTGTTTTTGTAAGGCCTATGTGAACAATCCAAGATGCTCATCACAAAAGCTGATGTGTTCGTTCTTCTTGAGTGATTAATTCTTTTTCCCAATTGGGTGATTTTAGCCTTGTTTAGATCTGTATCGAGAGCTGTGGTTTCGTCTTGTGTTGAGTTCTCTTGATTTTAGGTGCGAATGGCAACCCAGATGGACTACAACTATTTTGTTTCCTTTATATATATATATATATATATATATGAGGGACTAAAGTTTTTCTTGCATTTAATTACTCCTTCAATTATCCCAAAAAAAAAAAAAGCACTGCTTCTTCAAATACTCTTTTTGAAAGAAAAAGGAAAAAAATCAAATTCGCTAGACATGGTCCTCAGAAAACCATATAAATGTTTTGATTTCTGTCATCTTCCGCAAGTGATGTACACAAAATGTAAGAGTGAATTAAAAATAGTAATTATAATCATTTAGACATCCGCAACTTTGATTGCCTTGGTTCAGGTACACCTAACTCTTGATTTCGATTGGAGTTCAAACTGCAATAGTAGCTTTTTATTCTCCCTTTCCCCCAAATTTCCCCTTATTCAAAAAAGAAAAAAATTATAATCACTTAGGATTACAAAAGTAGATTTTTGACAAAATTGTTTTGTGTTTGTACCAATTTCTATTAGGTAGACCTAATCACGCCATCCAAATATGAACTAGGAATTAAGAGTATAACAGCACCTATCTACTGATCCTCTCTCCATTTTTTTTTTTTCCTTCTAAGAATATCCATCTACTCTAATTATCATAAGTAGATAAATATAAACCAATTATTTTTTTGCTTGTCTATTTCAATATATCAATAGAGAAGTTTAAATATTGAATTTCAACAATTTTGGATTAATTTCTTCCATTATTTTTACTTGGTTTTTACTCCATCCATTTATT